CTGGAAGAGCAGCCAATGTTCTTCACTTCTGGACCATCTCTCCAGTTCACTCCTTTGCCTCTTGAGACAGGGTCTTGTGATGTAACCCTGGCTGTTCTTAAACTCCCAGTGATCCTCCTGCCTCTGCTTACTGAGTACTAGATTAAGTGTGACACCACAACCAGACCTTTCTACCCTTGGAGGGAGTCAGTTCTTGTTCCGGGATAGAATTCAGGTCACCAGGCTTGGCAATGAGTACCTTTATCAGATTATTATTTCCTCTTGAATGAACCGTGGGTTCTAACGTTTAGGCCGGTCAGGAAAACCTATGATGCCATGGCTGGGCTCTAAATCTTTTTGTTGTTGTTGTTTTGGTTTTTCAAGACAGGCTTTCTCTGTGTAGTTTTGGTGCCTGTCCTGGATCTCACTCTGTAGACCAGGCTGGCTTGGAACTCAGAGATCTGCCTGGCTGTGCCTCCCCAGTGTTGGGATTAAAGGCGTGCACCACCGGTTGTGGTGGCGCACGCCAGTAGGATTTGCTGAAGGAGGCAGAGGCAGGAGGATCACAAGTTCGAGGCCAGCCTGGGCTGCACATTTAGCCAATCAGTGGTGGCGCATGCCTTTAATCCCAGCACTTGGGAGGCAGAGCCAGGCGGATCTCTGAGTTCGAGGCCAGCCTGGTCTACAGAGTGAGTTCCAGGAAAGGTGCAAAGCTACACAGAGAAACCCTGTCTCGAAAAAACCAAAAAAAAAAAAAAAAAAAAAAAAGAGGCGTGTGCCACCGCTGCCCGGCCCTAAATCTTCAAGGAAGGTTACAATGCATACTCCGGGCTGGTGCAGTTTAGGCTGCGGAGGCTCATTAGGGGGTCTTGGGGCAGGCTGTTCAGTCTGGAGAAGCCATGGTCCCAAACTGAGAGAGAAGATCCATTTTTAAAAAGGAGGGGTGGGATGAGAGATAGGTCAGAGGCTTCTGGACAGGCTAAACAGATCAGAGAAGTTGAGTGGGGACGGGAGTGGGAGAAAGGGGGGGCTGGGCCTTGAGTTTGATTCTAATAGTTGGGCCCAAAGAATGCAAACTATTACATGTCCCTTCAAAATAATAGCCCCTGACATCTTTACTAGCCACACCAAGAAATGGAATTATGTAGGCACTGTATCTTTTAAAAAAAATCCCCTTCGTAGTACTTCCTTAAAAATAAGTATTTATTGCAACTCTGCCAGTGTGCTCTTGATAGTGTCCTTAATGACTGCAGTACTGACAATCGCAGCTTGGTGAAGGGTTGAAGTGCATCTTCCGGGTAAGTGTTCAGCTCATGCTTCTCCAAGCCCTTTATATTACTAGCTGCCCATTTTCTCCTTCGGGTGGATGCTTCTTGGGCTGTGGTCTCCTTGTCTGTTAAGTTGCAAGGGTTCTTCTTTCCTTTGTATTTGCTGCTTAAGTGTTGGGACAAGAGTTTGGAGCATCAGTTAATGTGGTGCTGGGAATGGAAACCCAGGCTGGAGGGGATCCAGCCCCAGAAACAACTGCATCTTTACAGCACACTCCAAAATGAAACTGCTTCAGCTCCTTTATTTATAGTTCACAGAAACCTTGCTTTAGGAGGCCAGTGTAGAGTTTGCTTCTACTAAAACATTCCAGGCACCTTTGGATAATATTTAGTTCAACATACAGCAAGCTTCAGCACCAATGGGTGAAGTCACGATTGCCTGAAAAGTCATGGATGGCTTTTTAAAACTATCTTATACTAATAATGTTCATTTGGTGGGTGGCACAGCTAAAATCTCAGCGTTTGGGGGGACTGACAGAGGATTGACATGAGTTTAAGACCAGGCTGGATTACAGGAGTGTGAGGCTAGCCCAGTTCATAGTCACTATCCCCAAAGAGCAAATAAATGGACCACCAAAAAAAAAATTGATCAAAGAACATAGCCCAGACTGGATTTATGAATGTTCTTCTTGTGTTTTCTTTTAAGTGACGTGATGCGAAGATTATGCATTGTGCTTTGATCTCACCGTTATTATTTGCTCTTGAATTGTTATTATTATACCAGTATTATTAAAACATTGCCAGATGTTGGTGGGGCACATCTTTATTCCAGCACTCGAAGTTTTAATACTGATATTGCAGAGGGAGGTGAATCTCTGAGTTCAAGGAAAGCCTGATCTACAGAGGACAGCCAGAGCTACATTGAGAAACTGTCTCAAAAATAAAAACAACAGCAAAAAATAAAATAAATGCTAAAAATTAAATAATATTAAAGAGTATCATCTGTTTATGGGATAAGAACTTGAGTTAACAGCCTCTGGTTTTATTTTATTTTATTTATTTATTTATCTATTTATTTATTTATTAATTTTTTTTTTTTTGTTTTTTCGAGACAGGGTTTCTCTGTGTAGCTTTGCGCCTTTTCCTGGAACTCACTTGGTAGCCCAGGCTGGCCTCGAACTCACAGAGATCTGCCTGGCTCTGCCTCCCGAGTGCTGGGATTAAAGGTGTGCGCCACCACCGCCCGGCTATTAATGATTTTTTAAGACAGGGTTTCTCTGTGTAGTTTTGGAGCCTGTCCTGGATCTCGCTTTGTAGACCAGGCTGGCCTCAAACTCACAGAGATCCACCTGGCTCTGCCTCTCAAGTGCTGGGATTAAAGGTGTGTGCCACCGCAGACCGGCTAATCAATATTTTAAAAAAATAAAGAGACCCTTTCTCAAAAAGTATTGGGGGGGCAGTTAAATAATAAATTTGTCCAGATGTGGTCAAGCATGTCTACAGTCCCTGAACTCTGGAGGCTGAGGCAGGAGAGTTGCAGATTCAAAGAGAGCCTGAGCTGAGATCTTGTCTCAGAAGCAGAACAGGAGCTGGAGAGATGTCTTAACAGTCAGAGGCACTGGCTGCTGGTCCAGAGGACCCAGGTTCAGTTCCCCGAAGACACATGGGTTGCTAAGGTGAAAAAATTGAATTTCAAAATTTTTCAATTAAAAGCATTTGGGAGTGGGACAAGATAGTCTCCCATATAGCCCAGGCTGGCCACAAACTCCAATTTGAGGTAATCTTCCTGATATTTAGCTTTGTGGGTGCCAGGGTTATAATAGAGTGCTAGATAGAACTATTAGGTTTGCCCCGCTGCCGCTCCTAGTTCATAGAGTAGTGTTTAAATAATTGGGATTCTGCAACGTGTTCCTGTGATTTCTGTGTTCTCTCACCAGTTAAGGAGTGAAGGTGACCCGCTCACCACCTTTAGCTGTTTTTACATTTAAGACCGTGTAGGTGACGACAGTCTGTAGGAACAGGCGCTTGCCCTGTACACATGAGAACCAGGCTTAGCATCTCCAGAACTGCCGGAAATACTAATGTGTTAGCTAGTTTGGGGGGTTGTGGTTGATGTTTTTGTTTCCTGGCACAAGCTAGAGTCATCTGGGAAGAAGAAATTTAACTGAGAAAATGCCTCCAATAGATTGACCCATAGGTGAGTCTATGGAGCTTTTTCTCTCTTTTTTTCTTTTTGTCTTTTGTTTTTTTTTTTTTTTTGGGTTTTTTTGGGAGGGGTGTTTGTTTTGTTTTTTGTTTTTCAAGACAGGGTTTACTGTGTAAAAGTTCTGGCTGGCCCGGAACTCACAGAGACCCACTTGTCTCTGCCTCCCAAGCGCTGGGATTAAAGAGTGTGCTGCCACCATCCTGTGGAGCATTTTCGTGATTGACTGCAAGAGGGCTTTGGCCACTGGGTGTTGCCACCCCTGGGTGGGTGATCCGGAGTTGTGTAAGAAAGCAAGCTGAGCAAGCCAGTACATGCCATTTCTCTGTGGCCTCTACTTTAGTTCCTGCCTTGTGTTCCCGCCCTGACATCCCTCAGTGGTGGCCAGTGACATACAGTAAATCCCTTTTCTCTCAAGTTGGTCATGATGTTTTATCACAGTAATTGAAACTGCCAGGGGGCGTGAGTGGCCTCCTGTAATCCCAGCACTTGGGAGCATGAGTCAGCACGAGCTGGCGAACTTGACCCAGTCAGCAAATTGTGGGGCTCCAGTGAGAGATCCTGTTTCAGTATGGAAGGTAGAGAGTGTGGTGGAGGGAGACACTCGGCATCCACTTCTGCTCTCTGTACACACTGGCATGCATGGGCAGCCACACAGACATGTTTGTTACACACACACACACATACACACACACACACACACACACACACACACACACACACGTGCACACACACACGTGCACACGTGCACACACACGCACACGTGCACACACACGCACACGAACGAATACAATATGCATACATAGAATGACAGAAAAGTGAAACATTCATTGGAAATCTTGAGGAAAGAAAATTTGTTCCCATGAAAGAATTGAGATGATGGCATTTTGCATTTGCAATATTTAAAAAAAAAAAAACATTTTCTGGGCAAGATCTGTTCATTTAGGATCAAATTAAAAGTTACTTTTGTTTTAAGGTTAATCCCATACCTGTAATCCAGCACTCCAGAGGCCACTCGGGAGGAGTGGTACGAGTGGGGGCCAGCCTTCGCTACAGACTGAGACCTTGTCTCAAAAAAACCCAAAGACAAAATAAACAGATAATATGTGTAAAACCTATTTGGGATTGTCCTTTTACTTCTTTTTCTTCCTCAGAGCCAGTGTGCAAACGAGCAGGCAAGTTCTCTACCTCGGAGCTGCTTCCTCTCCCCAGTTAGTGACAATGGTCAGTGCTTTTGCTTGTCTGTTTTTTATCTTAACTCTCCTGACCCCGAGACTTCTTTCTTTTCGAGACAGGGTGTCATGTATCCCGGGTTGGCCATATGTGGCCGGGGGTGACTTGAAGTACCCGCTCATTCTGCTTCAGCTTCTAACCCATCATTTTTATTTATGCTATATACAACTTGATACCGTATGGAATTCTATAATTTTATAGTATTTTAAGCTATAGGATAAATACTTTGGGTAAGCACCAGACGGAAAGACCTTTAAATACTGAACCAGGAAACTGGCTCTCACATTTGGTGACGTCTGAGCCACTTCGGATTGTCTATGGCCAAGAAGCTGGTGAGCATTCTACACTGCAAAGAATGAACAGCCTCCCGCAGTGGGAAAGGACTTGGCCAGTGTCCTGTGCCCGGAGTGCAGAAGCTGAAACTCTCCCAGCAAAACAGCAAAATGACATTTTATTAATTTCAGAACTCCCAAATTGCACCGCTGTTGCCACAGCCTTGCACTGAGCAAGACAGCCTGGGTCAAGTATTTGAGGATGCTTTTGAGGCGCTGACACAGCCTTCAGTTGGAGAACTTCAGTACTCCCCAGGTAAAAACGGTCGTTTTCTCTCATCTCTCGGCACATATGTGGCTAGTTGGTCACATACATGTGTAAGAGTAAAGGCATGGACGCCTGATAGACGTACAATGTCTGGCACTTGCGGGGCTGGGGAAAGGGGTGTCCCATGGGCTTCCCAGCTAGCCAGCATACCCTCATTGATGGGTTCTAGGCCAATGCAAGACCCTGTCTCAGAAAACAAGGCTGTTGAAGGATGATATCTGGGGTTGACTTTGGCTCACACACATGTGTACCCACACACATGTACACCTGCATGTGGTACACAGAGAAACATGCAGGTGAAAAACCACCCACATTCATGAAATAATTTTAAAAAGTAATGTGGAGCTGAGGCAAAGGGGTCATTGTTTTGAGGCCGGCCTGATATATATAGCTAGACTCTGTCTCAACAAGACAGAATAAACATAGTCTGCTTACCATTGCTTATTATATTATTATTCTCCTGGTTTTCCAAGAAAAGCTTTTCCTTTAAAAAAAATGGATATGTATATGGTATATTGTGTATATGTGTATGGTGTATTGTGTACATGTATATGTGTATGGTGTGTGGTGTATTGTGTATATGTGTATATGTATATGTGTATTTGTATGGTATATTGTGTATGTATATGTGTATGGTGTATTGTATGTGTATATGTGTATGGTGTGTGGTGTATTATGTATATGTTATGTATGTATATGGTGTATTATGTATATGTGTGTGGTATTGTATATGTGTATATGTGTATGGTGTGTGGTGTATTGTGTGTATGTGTATTATATGGTATGTTATGTATGTATATGGTGTATTATGTATATGTGTGTGTGGTATTGTGTATGTGTATATGAATATGTATGTATATTATCTGTATATTATTAGAGTATGGAAGTTGGGGGACCACCTTGGGTGTCATCCTTGTCTCCCTTGTGTTTGGGCCAGAGTCTCAATGCCATGCACATGCCAGGCTAGCTGGCCTGAGAACTTCTGGGACTCTCCTGACTCTGCATCCAGCCCATCTTGCCACAGACACACTGGGATTACAGTACTCAGCTTTACTGGCTTCTGGAGACTTGAACTCTGGTCCTTACGTTGATGTGGCATGTGCTTTGCCCATGGAGTCATCTCCCAACCCAGAACAAGCATTTTCTTTTTTAAAGATTTATTTATTTGTTTTGTATACAGTGTTCTATTTGCATGTATCCCTGCAGGCCAGAAGAGGGAGAGATCTCATTATATATAGATGGTTGTGAGCCACCATGTGGGTGCTGGGAATTGAACTCAGGACCTCTGGAAGAACACCCAGTGCTCTTAACCCTGAGCCATCTCTCCAGCCCATTTTTTTTTTTTTTGAGACAGGGTTTCTCTGTAGTTTTGGTTCCTGTCCTGGATCTCACTCTGTAGCCCAGGCTAGCCTTGAACTCACAGAGATCTGCCTGGCTCTGCCTCATGAGTGCAGGGATTAAAGGTGTGTGCCACCACCGCCGCCGGCACTCAGAACAAGCATTTTCATTGTTATATCTCTCAGGCCTTCCACTCGCCCAAGACATAGTCTGTGTGGAAGAATGCAGTGGGTTTTTTTTTTTTTTTTTTTTTGTGTGTGTGTGTGTGTGTGTGTGTGTGTGTGTGTGTGTGTGTGTGTGTGTGTGTGTTTTGAGATAAGGCTTCTCTGTGTAGCCCTGGCTGTCCTGAAAAACCATCTATAGACCAGGCTGGCCTCGAACTCAGAGATCCACCTGCCTCTGCCTCCTAAGTGTTGGGATTAAAGGCATCTGGGATTAAAGGTGTCTGGGATTAAAGGTGTCTGGGTCTGGGATTAAAGGCGTCTGGAATTAAAGGCACCTGGGATTAAAGGCATCTGGGATTTAAGGAATCTGGGGTTAAAGGCGTGTACCACCACCGCCCGGCTTTATGATTATTCTTATTCTTTGATCTAGGTAAGATGCATATGTTGTCGACTGAGTTTACATATGTTATCGCAGAGTTCCAAGGTTAAAAACAGTCAGGGACACGGAATATTTCTCCATAAGGCAAATGGGTTATGAAGAAGAGTATTTATGATATTAAAATGTTGGGAGCTGGGCGGTGGTGACGCACGCCTTTAATCCCAGCACTCAGGAGGCAGAGGCAGGCGGATCTCTGAGTCTGAGGCCAGCCTGGGCTACAGAGTGAGTTCCAAGAAAGGCTACACAGAGAAACCCTGTCTCGAAACCCGCTCCCCCCCCAAAAAAAAATTAAAATATTGGGGTAAATACCGTGGGAGAAATATAAAGTGTTAAGAAAACTTATAAAGTGTTAAGAAAACTAGTTTTCTTAACACTTTATATTTCCTTCTAAGGCAGCAATCAATAGAATTTGGGTCACCTTGGGCGTGTGCATGTGTGGGTATGTGTGTGTGTGTCGTGTGTGTGTGTGCATAAATGAATGTGTGCTTGTAAACTTGGACTTATGAAATGTCTTTCTGTTCTGTTTTTTAATTAGATCATAATAAAAATTACATGGCCTTCCTTAACCATTATCCTCACATCAGAGGCAGTTCCAGTTGGTGTGGAATGTTACCCCCGGAAGAACCCACCTATAACTGGAGAAATGTAACTGTGAGTATGCTTAGTGAGACCAATCCACAACAGCCATGCTTTTGGTTTAGAATGAGTGAGGCTGTTAAGTTTAAAGCTAACATGAGTAAAAGAATGAGACAGCAAGGAGCCGAGAGCTAGAAGAGCCTCAAGCCAGGCATGCAGGGCAGAGGAAGCCGGAAAGTTTGGAAACAGTAGAGCAGTCACCTAGAGCCCCTGCTAGGCAGAGGGCGCCAAGCAGAACATATTCTCCAGGGTGAGACTTTGAATTCCCTCCACAGGCGTTTTATATCGTGTGTCAATGAGTCTTTAACTGTAGGGAGGTGCCTGAGGCTAGTTGACCTTTCAGGTGCGTTCAAGGCTATCATGTTTTTTTCTCAAATGACCTCCTGTTCTCAAGGACATGGCACTCCTGGACTGTTTTTTTGTTTGTTTGTTTGTTCTATTTTGCTTTCTCCTTCTTACAGGGCCCGGAGGCCCTGGTCCAGCCCTGGACAGTGGAGTCTTAGGAGACATTTTAAGAGTAACGTGCTTGACTCTGAAGTGAATATCCATGACAGAGTGAGCAAGTAGCTTTAGATCCTTTTCCATGAGTCCATCACCTGCATCCCGTCCGTTCTCAGCACCCTTTCTTTTTTTTTTTTTTAAGATTTTATTTATTAATTATGTATACAGTGTTCTGTCTGCATGTGTCCTTGCAGGCCAGAAGAGGGCGCCAGATCCCATTACAGATGATTGTGAGCCACCATGTGGTTGCTGGGAATCGAACTCAGGACCTCTGGAAGAGCAGTCAGTGCTCTTAAACACTGAGCCATCTCTCCAGCCCTCTCAGCACCCTTTCTACATGTTCTATCATACCTCCGTGTACATCTGTTTACATATATGTACACACATTATGGATGTGTGTATATGCATGCTAGGGTCCGCATCTGAGGGAGAATATGCAGTTTTTTTCTTTCTGAGATTGTGTGTGACCTTACTTAATATTATACATACTAAGTCTGTCCATTTTTCTGCAGTTCTGTCATTTCATTTTTCTTTATAGATTAACAGTATGCAGTTTTACATAGCTATTTCGAGTTTTAATATGGTAGGTCTGACTGTAAAACTCAGTTTTTCCGAATAAAGGCAGTGGGGAGACAGTTGGATAAAGAGAGGGAGCTGGCCATGGTGCCACATACCTGTAATGGCAACATTTGGGAGGTAGAACCAGAAAAATCAGGAGTTCAAGATCATTCTCCACTACATAGTGTGTCTGAGGACAGCCTGGGATACAGGAGACTTAAAAAAACAAAACTATGGGCTGGAGAGATGGCTCAGCAGTTAAGAGCACCAACTGCTCTTCCAGAGGTCCTGAGTTCAATTCCCAGCAACCACATGGTGGCTCACAGCCACCTGCAATGAGATCTGGTGCCCTCTTCTGGCCTGCAGGGACACATGCAGGCAGAATACTGTATACATAATAAATAAATAAATCTTAAAACAAAACTATGTCCCCAACAGACACACAAGGAGGAAGGCAGAAGTTGAGAACTGTTAAGTTACATGGAAACTAGTATCTGAGAGGGTAATAGTAAATGAGAGTAGTCTGCGGGCTGGCGTGGTTAAGAGCACTCTCTGCTCTTGCAAAGGACCAGTTGAGTTCATTTCCCGACACCCACAGGACTTCTCACTATTGCCTATAACTTCAGTTCCAGAGGACCCACCACCCTCTTCTGGCCCCTGTGCACTCTGCATGCACATGGTGCACAGATATACATACAAAACAAAAGTTATACACACAAAAGAAAAATAAATAATAGGAAAAAAACCTCAGTTTTTCCTTCATCTTCAGGCATGTGTGTTGTGTCTAATACCCTTTTCTCTGTGTAAATTGGGCCTTGTTGCATCTTGTATTTTCTTTTTCTTTCTCTCCCTTTATTTTCTTCTATGTGTGTATAACCATTCCTTATTTATTAGATGCTGGGAGTCACACCCAGGCCCCAAGGCCATGTATATACTTGGCAAGCACTTTACAGACAGCGACATCTCCACCCCCATAAACCATTTCTTTAAAGAGGGGATTTGGGGGCTGGAGGGATGGCTCAGAGGTTAAGAGCACTGACTGCTCTTCCAGAGGTCCTGAGTTCAATTCCCAGCAACCACATGGCGGCTCACAACCACTTGCAATGAGATCTGGTGCCCTCTTCTGGCCTGCAGGGACACATGCAGGCAGAACACTGTATACATGATAAATAAATAAAATCTTTTAAAAAATACACATTAAAGAGGGGATTTGGGTTCCAACTAACCTCTTGTCCTTTTCCGATTAATAAATAATAAAACAAACTAGGGTTGCCTGGCAACCCTGCTTTCATAGCTCTTAGCTTGCAGAGTGTAGATAGCTTCTTGTCGTTGGGAACCCCTGGCCCGACAGTGTGGGGATGATACAAGGTGGCTCAAGTCCAGCCAGTGGACACAGACACGTCTTTGCCACGTGTAATGGCAGGAGCTTCTTCCTCTTGTCCCTCGGTCCCGTCTGTCATCGTTCTTCCCTTAACCCATGTAGGCATTCAATCCATGAAATCCATGAAGAATGAAAGCCCATCTTCCCTTGGCGCTGACACCCTAATCTTTTGATCGTTTCATTTGGGGAGCAGGGACGGGGGTTCCTGTTTTGTTTTGTTGTTGTTGTTTGTTTGTTTGTTTGTTTTTTGTTTTTTGACACAGGGTTTCTCTCTGTAGTTTGGGCGCCTGTCTTGGATCTCTCTCTGTAGACTAGGCTGACCTCGAATTCACATGGATTCCCCTGGCTCTGCCTCCTAAGTGCTGGGATTAAAGGCATCTGCTGCCGCCGCCACCCAGCCCTCCTGTTTATTTTTTGAGATATAGTGTTTGTCTACAGCCCAGACTCTATAGCCCAGCATCTCCTTACTCAAAGCAGTCCTCCTGCCTCAGTCACTTGCAGCACTGCTTTAGCCTTAGGCTTCTTGGTGCTAGGGTTGCGGTTGCGGTTGTGAGCTGCCATGCCTGATTCTCACTGATTTTCTTGGCTCTTTCTCACTGGGGGCATCCTTAGAAGAGGACCAGTCACCTCTTTTTTTTTTTTTTTTTAAGATTTATTTATTATTATGTGTACAATGTTCTGTCTGCATGTGTCCCTGCAGGCCAGAAGAGGGCACCAGATCTCATTATTGATGGTTGTGAGCCACCATGTGGTTGCTGAGAATTGAACTCAGGACCTCAGGAAGAACAGCCAGTGCTCTTAACCTCTGAGCCATCTCTCCAGCCCAAATGTTAACTTCTATCCCTGGTCCTCTCTGTATCTTTTGATGATCCCTGGGACGATCTGGCTGCGGTGGAGGTGGCACTTGAGAATCCAGATGTTTAGTACCCTTTGCTCTTGGCATTGGTCTTCAGCCACTGACTGGGGGTGGGGTGGGGGTGGGGGGGGACAAACTTCTCCTTACTTAGCATTCTGCTGTCTTGTGTATGTAGAATGGTTCTGGGGACTTGTATTTGGAAGAAAATTTCCATCAATCTCTGCAGAGCATAACTGAAAACCAGCTGGTACAAGCCACCCTCTTCCAGCAAAAAGGAGGAAAAGGTATGTTGCTATGACACCCCTTACATAGGTACAAAGGGATGTTATATATGGTTGTTTTGGATTTTTTTCCCTTTCTTCTTTCATTATGTAGCCCAGGCTAGCCTGGAACTCACTAGTAGACCAAGATGTCTTCAAACCTGCAGTCCTGCTTCAATGTTCTGGGTGCTGAGATTATGGGCATACAGCCCCACGCTGGATGGAGTTCAGAATTAATTATATTTCTAAGTGTTATCTTGTAGCTGAACATGACAGCACTACGTCCAGCACTGAGGCAGAAGGATTGCAGGTTTGAAGCAAGCCAGGGCTACATGCTAGACTCTATCCCAAGAAAAATCTGTTAACAGCCTGAGTTGAACCATTCCAAGAGTGTTGGGTTATTTATTGGGTCATAGGCAACTTACTGATGGTTACAATCCTGAAGAAGAAAAATGACGCTGCCACCTCACCCTTGCAGCCATTAACTACAAATAGCTCCTCTAACTCATAAGAAAAAACTATATATAATAAATATGATAACTATATACAATATATACAAGCAATAAATACCTAAACAATGCATATTCCATTATCTATCCTATTTTGGTAAGTCCAAAATGTACCTGATTCGCTTTCTATCCTACCTTATATTACTAACAGAGAACTATCTTATAATGTCCTTTCAAATTTATACACTTACACCTCTTTAGTGAGTTTCTTTTCTGAAATCCTTAACAAGGAAAACTATAACTATCTAATCTTCAACTAACTATAACTATATCTAATCTTCAACTCCCTCAGAGACCTAAGAAGGAAATAATATTACCTAATAAAACAGGAAGTGCAAGCAGGCAGCTTCCAAAAAAAATGTGAGTTGACAGAAACAGCCAGCTGCCTGGACAGTCACCCGAGGTTTCTTCACAACATTGGGGCATCATCTTCAGCTTATAGGCTTAGCATATCTGACAGACTCATTTGTGAAGTAGGATGTACACAAGGCCTACAGTTCATCCTCACATTTGGTGAGAGTGGTCCATGTACCAGAAACACCTGAATTCCACTAGTGTCCTGTCGTGATTCAGGGTTTTAAATTGTGGAAATTGTTGATGTTTTTGGAATTCAGCTGTCCATTCTTCTCAGCTTGTGGGTGGCTTCATCTCTTTTATTAAATGCCAGTCTACCATTGAGAGGTTAGACTCCATCAGCTTAGTTACTCTTTAAGAATAACTGCTTCAGCTGCTGTTCCACTGCACATCAGAAGCCATTGGCCCACTGCCTGTTCAGCTGCCTTTGAAGAAAGGGGCACTGTACCTTTTCCGGATTGCAAAGGCCACTTCGGTGATGGTGCCATACTGTCCTGGCCTCAGAGGATGCCTATTGCTGAAGACACAATCACACTTGTCTTGGCAAGAATCGGTAGTCCTTTGTTTCGTGTCCTGTCTGTCCATTTTGTCCTGTTTGTCAGCAGTCGATTCGAGGACACTTTGTTGTCCAGTGGCTAACTTTTGCCACAATGAAAGTTAACTCCATATGCAGTTTCTTCAATGCCCATGTATCTCTGAAGTAGATTGGTATTGCCAGGAGCCGACATGTCTCATAGTCATAAAAAAAGAAAAAATTTCTAAGTTATTAAAACATTTTAAATGCCATATTCTATAGATCTCTGAAAGGTTTGAAGATAACCTGTGTATCTAAAATATATCTGCTCGACCTTGAAAACACACCTAATATGACTACAAGTTCTATTGTAATGTCTAACTACTAACTTTCATTTCTTTATATCCTAATAGTTGGTAATAATAACATTCAAGGATTAGCAAATTGCATTACATTGTTAAACTGTATAAATACAATATCTTGAACAAGATTAGAAATATACTATAGCATCTTCTTTTTTTTTTTTTCTGGAGCTGAGGACTGAACCCAGGGCCTTGTGCTTGCTAGGCAAGCACTCTACCTCTGAGCTAAATCCCCAGCCCTTATGTATAGCATTTTCTAACTATCAATCTCAATATATATCATTTGTATACAATATACAAATATCCAATCCAATGTAAAATATTTAAAACTAGCAATTGTCTTTTAAAAGTAGATTCAATAACCTTTTTATCTACATCGTATCTATATCTTTTTACTTTCAGAGTAGATTCAATAATCTACCTATTGACTCCCTATTGCTAGAATGCAGGCATTCTTAGATCTTGTGTGGGTTTTGTGCAAGTAGCCACAGCAGCAGTGGGTTGACAGTACAATGGCCATATCATGTTCAGAAGACAGTTTCATAGTTTGTAAACCTAAGATAATATAAGCACTTTGGGAATAAACTATCCTAATTACTCAAGGAGAAAATAGAATCTAGCTGAGAGGTGTTTTTTTTAACTACTGGTGGATGCAGTGGGACATGATACAGCATAAGCTAATTTGGATGTCATGAGGTGACTGTCACTTTGATTTCATGAATTCTATCACAACACGCAATCCACACAAATCCTCTAAATTTCCATATCTAGTCATTTTGAGACACAAATGATTACATTCCTAAAAGATGACAGATGCTGACCTTAGCACTTCATTTCGTGATAATTGCAAATGACAATGTCCCTAGGCATTGCTCCTGAACAAGGACATGAAAACTTTTTTTTTTTTTCCGGCCTTTCTACTGCAGTTTTTTTTTTTTTCTTTCCAATTTTCAGGACATTTTACTGCTCCAGAGCTAGCCTCTAAGTCATGGCTAATAATTCCCTTAATATTTTAGGGCCGAGAGGTGACAATATTAAAGAGCATTGGAACTAGAGGTAAAGATGGCCGTGAGCCACTATGTGGGTGCTGAGAATCGAACCTGAGTCTTTTCTGCAAGCTCAAAAGTGATCTAACAGCTGAGCCAACTCTCCAGCCCCTTGTACGTTTCGTGATGTGAAATGATAGTCGACATTTACCTGTGAAGAAAGACCGCCTTCAGATGAGTCTCCAGATGAGGAGGCCCAGGCTTCCTGTTTCCCTAGGACAGTAAATAACTTTTCACAATTTCCACATCGTTTAGGTCCTGTGCCAACTTTAAGAGGCCTGTGGATCTGTCTGGCCTGCTGGTAACTGTTCCTAAGGCAGTGAGTGTGAGGAAGCAGGCTCAGTGAAGCTTCCATTTCTGGGGCTCGTGAAGTCCTTCACGGGACCTTCCAGGGACAGCCACAGAGGGTTTGACGTCTCCTCTTTCCCTTCATTGCAGGCAGGAGGAAGCTTCGGCTGTTTGAATACCTTTACGAATCTCTGTGCAATTCAGAGATGGCATCTTGTATTCAGTGGGTCGATAAAACCAAAGGCGTCTTTCAGTTTATATCAAAAAACAAAGAAAAGCTTGCTGAGCTTTGGGGGAAAAGAAAAGGTAACCGAAAACCCATGACTTACCAAAAGATGGCCAGAGCCCTGAGGAACTATGCCAGGACTGGAGAGATCACGAAAATCCGGAGAAAGCTGACCTACCAGTTCAGCGAAGCTGTTCTCCAAAGACTCTCTCCATCTCCCTTCCTGGGGAAAGACCTCTTCTACTCACAGTATGGCCAGCCTGATCAGGAATATCTCAGCTTGAGCCCCTGGAATGCAAACTACTACGCTTATGCCGGTTACCAGAACTAAGCCACTCCAGGTTTGGACTGTATTCTATCATTTCTTGCTTTGCTAGGATCAGAAAACCCAGGGCTTCAGAATTTTTCCTCACAGATCCCACATCCATGATACAGAAACAACATCTAAGGAGGGCTGTGTACAGAACATATGCAGACTTTTCTTGTCCTGACAACTTTTTTGTTTGTTTGTTTTGTTTTTTTATTTTTTCGAGATAGGGTTTCTCTGTGTAGCTTTGGAGCCTGTCCTGGGACTCGCTCTGTAGACCAACCTGGCTGGCCTCGAACTCATAGAGATCCGCCTGGCTCTGCCTCCCGAGTGCTGGGATTAAAGGCATGCGCCACCGCCGTCTGGCTTAGTCCTGACAACTTTTTAGGTAGTTCAAAGGAAGCTGAAGATATACAGAGAGCAAGTGAACTATGAGCATCCTCCTCATAGTTTGCTATTGTAATAGACTTAGTGTCCATAGATTGGGTAACCAAGAACACCGTGGACCAGACTGGATTCATCTCCTGTAGTCCAGGGTGGCTTTGAACTCAGAGATCCAGGTGGATCTCAGTCTCCCAAGTGCTAGGATTAAAGGTGTGTGTTAACACTTGCTGGCCTCTATGCTTAATCTAGTGACTGGCTCTGTCCTGATCTTCAGGCAAACTTTGTTAGAGTGCAAACAAAATATTACCATCAATTTTATTTTATTATTTTTTTTGGGGGGGTTCAAGACAGGGTTTCTCTGTGTAGCTTTGTGCCTTTCCTAGAACTCAATCTGTAGCCCAGGCTGGCCTCGAACTCACTGAGATTCGCCTGCCTTTGTCTCCCGAGTGCTGGGATTAATTTGTTTTTTGTTTTGTTTTTGTTTTTTTCAGAGCCGAGGACTGAACCCAGGGCCTTGCGCTTGCTAGGCAAGTGCTCTACCACTGAGCTAAATCCCCAACCCCCTGGCTCTTTAAGACAAGGCTTCTCTGAGTAGTCTTGGAACAGACTGGCTTCTCCAATTGTGGAGATCCACCTACCTCTGTCTCCCAAAGGCTGGGATTTAGGGAATGGCAGCACACCACCACTGCCTGGCTGTGATGGTTAACATTGATGACCACCCGGCTGTGATCAGTGTGGATTGTCACGTTGATTTAAACTGTAACCATCTAGGAGACATGCCTCTGGGCATGCCTGAAGGTATTTCTAGGATTAACTGGTGTGTGTGTGTGTGTGTGTGTGTGTGTGTGTGTGTGTGTGTGTGTGTGAGAAGATCCTCCCCCGAAGAGAAATCTGCTGCTTCGCTTGCTCGACCACCCTCACCTTGCCGGAACACGTGCAGCCCCCTGCCGCTGCCGCCATTACAGCTTTTGTTGCCGTCAGAACTGCGATGCTGCTATTGCAGCGTGGACTGAGGACTACTCCAAGGCTCTCATGGGCTGGCTGGGCAGCTGCTGGTTCTCAGTCTCCGGCAGCACGTAGACAGCCACTGTTGGATCACGAGACCACGCCAGTCATCGTTTTCAGTCACCTGCTCAACAGCCTTAGAATTACGTTTTATATATACTCCATCAGTTCTGTTTCTCTAGAGTGCTCCACCTATAAACATGTGATAATAAAGCCCATTGCTTTGTGCAATTAATACATGCTAATAAAAAATGTTTGCAACAACTTGGGTAAACTTCAGAAAAAATTTTAATCTTAACCGCAGATAAGTTTATTAGGGTGCACAATATTTTGGGGAACACAATACCACATTTCCCCTTTTTTGTCTAAAATTTAAAAAAAGCTTATAACTAATATAAGGAAAACTATCCAATAAGTATATACAATATATACAGTCAAGAATTACATTAATAATGTCTAGTCCACTAACATTTGACAGATTCAGACAAAAATTCCATTTTATATATATTAATGTCCACTCCAGTAACATTTGATAAAGTCAGACAAAAAAAAATTTCATTACTTACCTATTTAAAACAAGTAATTCCTTTTTAAAAGTATTTTTTCTTTTCATAATAGATTCAGTAATTTACCTTTTGCCATATATATATATATATATATATATATATATATATATATATATGCAGAATGGATATTTTAAATGTTCTTAAAACAATGATATTTGAGGTGATGGATATATGACAGTTGACCGGGGTTCCTGAACAGCCTGGGGCAGGGGGCGTCCCTCCAAGACCCCGGATTAGGCACAAACCACACCCAAACACCTGTTTTCACAGAGAGATCCTTTATTAAACGGGAAAGAAAAGTTAAAGGCAGAAAAACAGCAGCGAAGAGAAGAAGAGGAGGTCTGTGTTAGAATGGGCTAGGATGCGGCGGTCAAGAGGAAGGGGACGAGGGAGAAGCAGGTGGACAAGGGGAAGGGGTCAGGGACACTTGTCCTGGAGGGTCCAAGGACTGCATCTGGATAGAGCGGAGACAGACGTGGCACATAGGAAAATGGCGGCTTATAAAGGTAAAATGGGATACCCCGTGTTAGGAGGAGGTGTTTAATTTTAATTGGGCATGCTAGTTAAATGAAACACACGAGGCTTTTGCTAGCTGGACTTTGGTAGTCAGCCTCTGGAGGAGGAAGTGGCCAAATAAGGGAGTAGACCTTGGTGGCTAGTGTTAGGAATGTAATCTAATGGTTTTCAGCAAGGCAGATGGGGATGGGAGAGGACAAGGCCTGCCAGAGCCACGTGCTCAAGTGGGCTAGTGACCCTTCCTTCAATAGTTACCCCCAATTGACCACTCCAAGATGGTTAAATACATCAAACATACACAGACATAAAATTATTTAAGTACACACAAAAATGTGCATAGTTATCCTCAGGCTGTGTTTTCTCTGCGCTTCCATTCATGGGCTGTAATCTTGGAGTGCTAAAAGAAGTTAATAATGGTCTAAGTAAGGAAAACGACACTTTTGAAGGTCCCAACTACCACCACAAATCATTTTAAGGATCAGTGTTTCGGGCTATTCTACAGCTCAGCCACAGGGAGGCGCTGCTGCCCCGTTCTCACTTCAGCCCACTCTGAGAACCACATTTTTTTTTTTTTTTTTTTTTTTTTTTTTATCCCTTGCTCTGGTGAAGACTAGAGATTAGCCAACACTACACTGAGGGAAGAAACGGAATACGGGCAATTGGGACCGGAAGCTCAGGCTTACTCTCCTCATAGCATGAGAGTAAGAACCCTAGAAAGAACCCAGTTTGGCGGATTGCTCTATAGTTCATGTATTATCACAAAGCAGGGGAGTTTTCTATCCTGCCTGAACATACCACCTTCAGGTCAGGCTGTAGTTCTCAACCTTCCTAATGCTGCGACCCTTTAATACAGCTCCTCATGTTGAGGTGACCCCCCCAACCATAACATTATTTTCGTTGCTGCTTCCTAACTGTAATTTTGCTACTGCTAGGAATCACGATGTACATATCTGATATGCAGCCCGAATGGGTCGCGACCTGCATGTTGAGAACCACTGCCATGGTGCACCTCGGCCTGGAATTCTCTGACTTTTCTTTTTCCTTTGTGCCTATAAGAAAACTTTCCAGATTATACAGAGAAACCCTGCCTCAAAAATAAAAAGAAAAAAAAAAGAAAACTTTCCAGAATTCCTGAGAACACCTCACGCCTTAGACTCCAGACACAATTGGAACCCTTCTGAGGCGGGGGAAGGGTCACTGTCCCGGAGGGAAGCAGGAAAGAACACCGGCATACGACAGACTTTGCCTAAAAGGAGACAAGGAAGAAAACCAGAAACACTGCGGTCCAGCCTTTGGCTGTCCAACATGTTTACATGCATTTCAAAACTGTTCATGTTCCTGTGGAAGTTACACACTCCCTAAGGGGAGGCACTTGTGACTACCCAGGCAACTCCATCCAGGAATTCTGGAGTAATGCCCACTTGTCTCCTCTGTCCATGGCTGCATTTGTCCGTGATGGTCCAATGACGGACCACAATATGGAGTCTGATTTGGAAAGGACAAGAGTCACAAACAACCCCAGCCCCTTGGAGGTAGCATCTATCTAACTGTGGGAATGGTGAGTTTGAGGCCTACCTGGGAGAGGAATGCAGTCTTGACTGGCCATGTTTATTGTCTTTGTAAGCATTCTTTGTTCTCATATAACCCAGGCTGGCCTCAAACTCCCTGAGTAGCAGCTGTTGCCTTTGAACTCCTGATCTTTCCTCTACCTCCTAAGTACTGGGATCATATGCCTTTTACAACACATCAAACTATAATATTCTTTATCATATTTGTGATCCTTAGTTGCACCTTATTGAATAATCCCCTTGTTTAAATTTTCTCTACAGTAGTATTTGAAATGAGAATTAACCATTTTTTTCTCTCTCAAATACAGCATACAGTGATATGTTGACATGAATGAGTTTGGGAGACTGGGATTGTTGGATCCAGACTTTAGCATTTGTTATTGACAACATCTCTCTTTCTTTTCTTTTTTTCTTCCTTCCTTCCTTCCTTCCTTCCTTCCTTCCTTCCTTCCCCTCTCTCTTTCTTGAAGATAACGCAAAGAAATTTATTTTAAGACAATTTTTAATATACATATAATTTTGTCATTTCTTTAAAGTTATTCTTCGAAAATTTCATAGCTGTGTACAATGTATTTTGATTATATTCACCACCCCACCCACTACACTTTTTTAAGATCACCTTCTGTGGTGGTTTGAGTAAAAATGGCCCCATAGGCTCATGGGGAGTGGCACAATTAGGAGATGTGGTCTTTTGCAGTAGGTGTGGCCTTGTTAGAAGAAGTGTGTCACTGGGGGGTGAGGTGGGGCTTTGAGGTTTCAAGTGCTCAAGCCAGGCCAAGTGTCTCTCTCTCTTCCTGCTGCCTGCCAATCTGGATTTAGAACTCTCAGCTCCTTCCCTAGCACCATGTCTGCCTGCAGGCCACCAGGCATCCTGCCATGATGACAGCAGACTAAACCCCTGAACCTGTAAGCCAGCCCCAATTAAAGCCCTTCCTTTATTTATTTATTTAATTTAATGCCAAATGCCGTTTATTGAAGGAGGAAGGAGG